GTACTTGGATACATATGCAATTAAAATAAATATTTTTTACTAAATTCAGACAATTAGAAAGCGTACCACAAATTCGGGTTCAAATTAATGGAATTGCAATAGTTGCATACGAACGGATGAAGAACAACGGGGCGATCCGATGCAAACAGAATATAAAGTAAATACAAATTTCTGTATACAGGGAACACAGGCGTTTTTCAGATCGTAATAAATTTGGTTTTGCCTCAATTAAAAAAGAATTAAATCCAATCTTTATTTCCGTAACCCCGTTTCGAAGCTCACTTATATAGACAATGTCCTTACAATTATTTACAATTATTAACAATACGAGTGTGAACATTTCGTAATATTGGTTGGTCTTCATTACGTATTTGCTAGCGTTGAAATGGTTCTTTCGTTCCCTTATAAGTACATGTTAAACGTTGAACTGGGCAGGGCAGATCTCTGTTCAGTTGGTTCTTGTAAACGCTAAACGTTGAACTGGACAGAGCAGATCTCTGTGCAGTTGGTTTTAGTAAATGCTAAACGTTGAACTGGACAGGGCAGATCTCAATCCAGTTGGTTCTGGTAAATGCTAAACGTTGAACTGAACGTGTCAGATCCCTGCAAAAAATAGCTGGGGGCAGCACTAGTATGGGGAACACGCAAAACCCGGCCGTGAGCACTCTCAGTTCCTCTCTGGTATTAATTATCATAAATAAATTGATAGAGAAATACTGCTGAAAATCGACTGAAATTCAATTACGTAATCTTAAACTCAAAATAATGCATTTATGATAAAAATAGAATGCATACTGTCACGTGATTACATTGCACTTGCATAATTTTAATGACGATCTAATATTTTAATAAATTGCTAAAAAGAATAAAATAGTAAAAAATCTCGATATAGGTAATTCTATAAATGGGTAATGTTGATTGATATATAAAATATACAGATATAGAAGGTTGTTCAATTTATTTCTTTATTTCCAACAAACACAATGGGTTTAATATGTGCGAAACAACCGTGTTGCTGTACACGAACAGTTGTGTTTAATAACGATCTTGCATGTAGTTAATAAACTGATCTGAAGTACAAATTCGTGTGTTAGTCCAGCAACAAGATGTATCTTTCGTCTTTCAATTTTTGCGCGACAAGATCTCAGATAATTCTAGGTACACTCTGGGCAATACAACAATATACACTAAAATTCGTATCGATAATCTACAAGTCGATAAGGTATATTTTTCTACATAAATATATATATAATATTTCCAGTGATATAGTAAAATTTGCTCACGTATGTTCGACAAGATCTTTATGTACAAAAAATTACAAAAAAATGAATTGTCACGAAATTCATGATGACGTATACAAAAACGAAGATTCTCATAATTCGTACACGATTAAGAGGTATTTCATAGAGCGCATACATAGATTATTAGAAATGTATCTTATGTAAAATAATATACACGTGATGATATATAAAGTAAGACTAGATGTGTGTGCCGCGGACTCTACTTATAAACTCTACTGTCGACACAGAGTAGTCCGAGACACAATTTAGAAGCAAAATCACCTGCCTCAACGCAAGAATATGCGGCACAACAACGGCTGAAAGCGTACTGGCAAGAAGAGAGTAAATTGTATTCATATTTTTCATTCCAATATTCCCCGATCTCCTCGCAGGAATTTACGATACGCTCACTAAGTGGGGCATAATACTGAAAAATAGAAGAATTGTCTCTTCATACCATTTATCTTTTGAAAAATTAATTCAAGGAAATTTATGAAATTTACCTTTGAGTATATAATCTGTTAACAGTGTAGGTACAGTCGGGCTGTCTTCACTAATTGCTTTTAGTACTGAAACACATTTAACGTTAAATTTTGAATTATGCGTGATGAACGTGTAGCATTGATACTTACTTTTTATGAGAACTTGTAAGGCCTGGTTATCCGGTGGACCACTGTCCGTATGATAGGGAATTACAGTAGTTAAATACTGAAAGAAACGTCATCAAAATTAAATTGTGCAGTTCACAATCAAAGTTGTTTTGCACGGAGATAATTACCTTAGACTCTTGAAGCGATCTATGTTGCGGTAAAGGACTAGTACCATTTTGCATTTGATTCCTCTTTTTCGTGACGTGATGCTGTCTTCGTCGATTTTGTACTGCTAACAACAACGAAATGAACTGATTCTTGAGTTCTTTCTCGTACTCGAGTTCGTCGCGCAATGCGAGTTCCGCGATAAGAGTTTCGCTGAGAGCTCCGACTAGTGATTCCATTTCCCCAAGCAGCTCAGTGAGTTGGCTGGAGGTAAGTTGTTTTAATTCTAGAATAAACGACCGTGGTTCAGTATTATGAGGCCAATTCCGACATGGTTTATTGTTTCGGATCTCTTTATGAAAATATACTTTTCTCGTGCAACGGAGAGCCCAGAACCTCTCTGCTCCTCTCCAACGCTTCGTCGCTATCCAATAAAGATCCATCAGAATCCGGAGATCGTTCCATCGATGGACTCTCCTACGTAAAGTAGATTACTTATTTGTTCTCGTCCTACATATATTAAAAGAGAATACGAGAATCGATGTTTACCTGCATTATGTCATCTATTTCACGGAGAACTTCTTCGGCAGTCTTCAAAGGTTCCTCTGGACTATGAGTATCTGTACTACTGGACAATATCAAAGCATGCATGTCCAAATCAGTTGCGACAGCCTCATCTTCGCTACTTAAATCCTCTAGTTCTGGTCTATAGCAAACAAAACAGAAGCGTCCAATTTGCGAACATTAGTCGCGGCTTCATGTACGTAAGTACATTAAAAATATATTAAAGATTGTCCTTATGATCTTGAAGTTTCTATTTATTTTTTGTCGAAATAAAAGCAGCAAAGTTACATAAATAAATCCGTTTGATACGCCATAGCGAGATGCTTACCTTTCATTCGGAACTGGGGCTTCGTTCAAATTAAGCGCGGGCATATGCATTTTTCTAGCATACGATTTGCTCCAATCTATCGGTAATATGTTACCAAACGTACCAGTAATCGTCCACCACATTCTATAAAAAAAGAGAAAAAAAATAACTTTCGTTAGAACACGCGGCAATTAATAATGGAGCAAATTTCTTCTCCGGAACGCACTAAGCATCATTGGGTGTGTTGCTAATTATGCGGACACCGTACCAGCTGACTCATATCCTCCTCGTGAATTGTCCTATGACGTTTTAAAACTGTGAATCGAGCGAACGCAGCGGCTATTTTTAATCCTTAACGCTTAACAGCTTCTCAGAATCTACCATGAAATTCAATCCCGCGTATATAATTCTGAAGGAACGTGCCTGATAGTAGACGCTGCGCGTCTTGAAATTCGGAGCGAGGATTCGTGAGAAAATATTGGCACAATTCTAGCCGCGGAGCAGTTCTATCTTTAAATCGATCGTGTAACAGCGTTAACAATAATTTTATCGAACGTAGAATAATCGTGTGAACTCATAATCTAAATTTCGCGGCAGCAGTACTCATTCACGTAGATTCCCAGAGACGTGTTATCGCGTTAACCGCCTGGCAAAAGACGTGATAAGATTTCGCAACGGAGACAAACGTTCATTCCGGCTGGGTCTTCGTTTTCTAGGATACCGTGTGAATCACTTGTCAGACTATCGTAGGCGTTCCTCGGGTCGTGTACACACGTACACACGCCAGGCATACGGTGTAGATAGATCTCTCATCCCGAGCAAAACGAAGTGTAAATCATTTCGATAACAATGCACCCATTCTAAGGAAATGAACTTCCGCTGGACTCGGAGCCCGTCCTATCGACGGATCTTCCTCGCCTCACGCCTTCGATTTGTAAACAATTCAGATTAAATGATGTTCGCGTGCGATCGAACAAACGGGCCTCTGTACGTTATTTTTACGCCCACGTTCGCTCAATTAAATTTTATCCTGCTGCGACTAATTGGCGAAGCCTGAACGTCTGAACAAATTGAATAATGTTTAAATAACGGAAAAGCGCACGGTCTTCATGGTTCGTTGGTAACCTTCAAAATTTTTTTTAAATTATTCCTATCGATTGAATGGACTGCGCTTCAGTTTTTTCCTTGCTTAATGCTTGGTCATGTGGAGTATGGCACGGTCGAGCGGCACTCGGAAATAAAAGGAGCATGCAGACGCATACAGCAGGCCGGTCGATGGTGTTGGATTAACAAATGGAGGTCAATTCGACCCACTTGAGTTTCTCATTAATGTTAAGTGCGTTAAAGCAGTGACTTCATCCTGCGCGTATGTTGTTATCCGCATCATCCGAAACGGACGCCTAAACAAAGGCCTGTTAGATTTTCTACGGAGGGAATTGTTGCTGATGTGAATTTCATACAGCATGATTGAAAAGTAGTTTGAAGAACGAACAGATTTCGCTGTTACCGTTTAAAGTAGCCTGTATCTATGGATCTTCTTTTGCTAACAAAGTGGAACGAGAAAAAACGTTGTGAAATTGAATTTCCGAGAAGGCGAGTGTATCCCCTCGCTTATTAATTCATTCTACAGTTCAATGATCCACGACGAGGCTTGCACAGTCCTCGCGCACTATCCGTTGCGTAACGCAAACGGCTTATAAGCAAAAACCGACGGGTCTTCGTCGATAGCTCAAGCCTAATAAAGCGTTCCGATCCAATTAAGAAACTTGTTTCATCTAATTTGAAAAAAAATCAACGGAACTAGTACGAAATCTACAGTGAATGATCAATTACTCTAATAATACACAATAGGTAATTTTATAAAGAAACAGGAAACGCATTGCTATGCGAAGGAACTGGACCATTTCGCCAGATCTTTCTACTCGGTATAGTTAAATAAATCGAGTCAAGAAAAACGGGCACGAAGAAGAGGAACAAACATGGTCGAGAAGCAACGGGTCGGGTAGAGCGCGTGCGCTGCTTTATTGACGTTTGTCCATCCCCAGAGGGTGGCTCGATACGAACGGCGGAACAAAACGCAGAGATCAAATTTTCATGGGACCCTTCCCCTTCGATTCGATCACGCACGATTTCTTACCGCCTCCGATTGCGGTATTCTACCAGCTTGAATTACGCCGAGGCTTTTTCCGCTCTTTATAACAATTCTCCAGCGTTTTCTACGTACTTTGTAATATACTTGAAAAACAGCGTCGTATAAAGTATATTTTTGTCTTTAATTGAATGAGTTGAACACGTTGAGTGCGTACATAATACATTCCAAACGATTACCGCTTTATTCATAATAGCACGCATAATCGACGCTACAAGGCTTTACGCAAAGTCATTAAGAATAGAATGGTGCGAGGCACGTATACACGGGATCTTACCAAAGAGCTTGTGGCCTGAAAAGGAAGGGGGCCGTGAAAAAAAGGAAAGGAAGTTACGTGCCGCGGGGCGAGAAAGTCTTTCGGTAGGTAAAAAGAAGGCTACCGTTCCGCGTTCAAAGGCGAACACCTATTTGGAGTCGCGAAACCTTGGTGCAAGGGTCGGAGACTCGTTTCATTCCGTGGGTGTCCCATCGAGAGGGATTTCATCTCGTGTCAAATTGGATTAGAAACAATGCGCCGGATACGCACGCACGGATGCGTTTATTCTTTCCGGCTTGATGCATACATATCAAAGCGGTGCTGATGGCGAATGACACACGTGCTGTCGCACGTGTCTGACCTGTGCAAACTTCGGCCACTGACCTCCCCTTTTCTCATCAACAGTCAAGACTTTTGATACTCTCGTTTATTGGAATTTAGAAAAATTTGTTTCGAATTTCAGTAACGATCTCGATGAAGTGTTCGTTACGTAACCGAAAGGGTGGAGCTTGGCTCGGCTTTCCTCGAAGACGGGTATAGTACCGAGGTAGATAGTCGCTATAGATAGTTCGTTTATTTAACCCCTTACATTCTTCAATATATAAGACTATAATTGTAGTTCTTTTAAGGAATTCAAATCCATTTTGACACTCTACATAAATCTGACAATTTTTAAAGGCACGTTCCTTTCAAGGAATTCCAATTACAAATTCAAAGCAATCTGAAAGAATTTAGATTTATTTCCCTAACAACTCCACCCATTAAAAAGGAAAAGGTCTCAACTGAAAGAACGTTTCAGGTAGGCGAGCATGCTTCAGCAGCAGGTATGTAAGTACGCAACCCTGAAAGAACTATTGGCTGGTCAGGTTCAACCTCCCCTGGTGGGAGCAAGTTAATTCTCTGTGTTCTTGATGCAATCTCAAAGACTCTTCCTTGACACAACTCGGATCCTAGGGTATACAAGCTATTCTCTATTTTCTTTTTTTCTCTGTCGATCGGTTCCATGAAAGGCAACGGACTGTCTAGACGAATTTCAGGAAAAACTTGACATCAAAGAAATTCACGCACAACCTGTAGTGTTGAAACGAGTTTAAGAGAGGCCCGGCCGGCTAGTCAGTGTTACCGAAGAAGATACAATTTTGCGCTTCGTTGAGCTTCACCTGCGCCCAGACTTGTTACGTGGTGAAATATATTCTGCTACTTGTGACTTTTATAACGAAATACTTACAGAAGCCTGTTAAACGTTTTTCGAACAATTTTAATGGTCTACAATTAACACTAACACAACTCAATTTATCTTGTAATTTTCCAACAGCCTTGTTGTACAACTATTTTTGGAATAACCATGTGTTCATGTAAATACGATATCGAACCGATTAGAAAAAGGAATTCGCAAATCTAGAAATGAGAAAACGCGTAATTTTTACGGAATTTAGAAGTCAAGTATGAATCGATCGATCAAGGAGCAATTAGCTCATGACGCGCGCCGCGCGACGATAGTCTAATTAGAAGGTGTGTTACTTTCTCATTATGAGGCCTGTCCACTTCATGGAGAGAAAGCTGCAGAACCCGCCGCAACCGTCATGTAGAGAGTACTCGTGGCGGCATACTTTTTCAGTTGGAAAATCGATACCGAGATCTTGGGGATCGGGAACACGAACATCCCCTTTGAAAAGATGTTTCCTCGGAGTCAATTAAATATCGTTAAACCGTTATTATTAAACCTTATCTCAATAAGAGGGTTGACAATCTGGACTCGTTATTCCCAATTTTAAAATAACACATTTCGAGATAAGAGGAGTGTGATATCTTTTGATAATACTCCTTAAAGCGTATCAAATTCGAGAGTTGGCGTATGTATTCAGTTACAATGCTTCTCAATGAAACCATACGAAGTAAGGTAATTTCGATAATATCGGTATGTATTAGATGTGTTTAGACTTAAGCTACCGAGCGAAACTGCTTGTGCCTTAACGCGTGTCGAAGAAAGCGTCTCAACAAGAGATTACTCAAACAGGATATAATATATTACAGAATATATGTAAATCACTAATTGTGTAATGTTTGCGCCTCATTTACACGACCTAATAAAGTGTTTGGTAAAAAGCTTCATCAAAACGTCAGTAGCTCGGCATTTTGAATTATGATATTGAATGAACGAGACTGATAATTATTATTCACGTGCGAATAATATCGTAACGGTGATGGCCGTAAATTATTACTTCCGTTCGTGAAGAACTGGCACGACTATCATTATTTTATAAAGAGGATCGAAGTATAGGATAGCAGTTGTATGGTGCGAGTGTAATAGATACTTCAAGGTAAACGCGACAGTCTGAATACGATAACTCGGACAATCTCCAGGGGTATTTATTAAACCCCCTAGCAAACCGCCAGGCAGCAGTCTTACTTTTTTAATCGTCGAAGGTAGTCATACGTATAAACCGGTATAACTGTAATACCGGAGATATCGCGTGACCCAAGGGTAATAGAAACTGCTCAATCGCGCACGTACTAACATCAATTTTGTTTATGCACGTTACTCTCGTATTTGTAAACGGTTTCTGAAAAACCGATCAGCGTCACAAATAAGAAAAGCAACCCAATGAATCTTTAATTTACACACGTGTAATAATCTAACTGTAAGTAATAATTTGTACTTTTCCTTTTTTGTTTTTGTACAGGGTGAATGGAACATCGTTTCCATTTTAAAAAATATGTTCATTGAATTATAAGAACTACTTATAACATTTCAAGAATAAAAATAGATTATTCCGTCCACCCCTGATGGAATTAATAAAAAAACCGAGCGGATGCTCCAGAAACTTACTGGCACTCGTTCATAATTTCTTCCTGCGTCCGTACTTGCACGGGTGCCAGAGATTCGACGTCCGTACCGTAATCGCGGAAGCAGGATGTTATCTTCTCGTCGAAGGTGTTAACAAGGTCCTCGAGACTACCACTGAAGGGGCTGAACGTCCCCTCTTGGAGAATATCCGTGCCATTCTCCTGCGTGGTCACGGGCTCGTTCGCGTTGCAATTCTCTCCATAACTCGTATTCAAACTCGTGTCCAACAATTGTTCTAAACGTGGTAAAACAGAATAAAGAATCTTGATAAATGTTCGTACGTCCCTTTCATCGATTTGCGTTCCACTTTTAGAACGAACGCGTCAGCCTTCCGGTCATCGTTTCTAATAGAATCGAGGAAAAAGTAAACACGATAGGTCGATCGATGGGACGCGATAAGTCGTATGTACATACAAATAATATTGGGCCACTATTTGTATATACGAAGCATCGGAAATCTTTTGTCTATACAACATTTCGCAAATACAAAACTCTTGTGTTCAAGTTTAAATGTAAATGATGAGCAATTTCAGGCAAATATTTGACTTCAATCTTGAGTCCAGCCTTGAAAGTTAGTAACAAATAAACATAAAAGGATTCGATTTAAAAGGTAAGCAGTATTAATTTACATTAGCTACGGGCATATTATTAGTTACATAAACGCGATGGATCGTACTTTCGCGTACAGACGCCAGTGACGCATAAGGGATCAAATGTTTTTAGGATTAAATGTCTAGGATTTTTTAACGAAGGAGCCGGGAGACGTGCATTTACACAGCATATATGCGTTTCATACGTCTATTTCTCAATATCGCTGGGCGGCGTTTTGAGGCCAGATTTCCTACGATGCGCGATTCTACGATGTCGTGAAAAGTGATATGGGAGTTAAAGCGAACGCGATGGATATTAGACACCAATTGCACGCATGACGTAGCCTTTTGTCGCGCGTTTGTCGCCCGAAGGTCGCTTCTTCACCGCTGCCTATACCAAGCCACCCTCGTCATTTAATTTGTACGTCCGCAAAATGAGCGTGACCACGCGTGCACGCACGTTCACGTACCCAAACGAAACCTGTTCCCTGCGCTTAAGCTACCAGCAAACTCATTCGGTTTCGAAATTTCCGCTTGTGTATCACCGGTCGCAACCTCTGCAACGCCTTTTTTAGGCAAAGAATCGCGGTCCGTTCTAGAACAGTTTTCGCATCGCACGTATACGATCGTCACCCACTTTCCAGGACTTAAATCGATCGCAATCAAGGATAGGGGAGAGACCAAGATAATCATGACTTCGATTGCCAATTTCGCGAGCCACCCGTTAGGCCCTGGGTAATCTTACCGGTTGACGTAACCGCGTCCGTAACAAAGAGACATTTATGATTATAAAACGTCGCGATAAACTTTGATCCGCGACGAGGTTAAAACGGGAGAATCCGTGACCGATATACAATGTACACATACGGCGAAACGCAGCATGGATTGAGGGAACAGCCGGGTACTGGAAAAGTAACATACGCATCTCGTATCGTCTCGCACCTGTCAGTAAATTCATGTTTTTCAAGCTGGCCGTGTCTTCTTCCTCGAAACGTGCGAGGGGTGCCTCGAACTTCAACTCGGCGATCTTGCCCGCCATGTCCCTCATTATTGACCGTGTAGTGGTGAACCGGGAGCGGAGTCAATCACCGTGATGAAATTCGGCACCGTACACTTACGGCGACGCTTCCGAGGCGCACCGTTTGTCTTCGTTTGTTTTATAATTTTTCCCTACGTGAGGGTGTTAACAAGGAAAGGACGACCGACATTGAAGGCCAATACGACAGAACACCCACGATCCACCGTCTGCGAGGCTTCGCGAACGACTGACGCAGAAGGGGCACGTTCCTAAATAGTGGGGGAAGATGATTGCTCGTCGCCATGACGACCGCTGGCTGAGCGCATCAAGCATTCACGATCCACGGGGAAATTGGCCATTCCTCAAGAACAATGAACATTCATAACAGGTAAACCAATTTCTACTGTATAACTATATAATTAACCTTTAAGCTAAAATAAATAGTCTGATCAATAAAAGTCGACATATATTTGGTTGCCTATATTTGTAAAACCGCTTTACCATTTCTTTGTCACTTCCAACTTTATCGTCCGCGTTGGGAATAAAATTACAGTTGCCATTAGGTTAGTTCTCTACAATTATCATCGAACAGTGAAGAAGTATACGCTGCTTCCACGGCACTGCGAGCGTGTGGCGTGCGCTCAAAAATTAAATTCAAATCTTGATCAGTAGCGTAAAAGCCCATTTAGATACATACATTAAATAAACTTCTGTACATTCTCAACAAAATCACGATACTTAAGAAGGAAAGAATAGAAATAGATAAGATACTTAATATGTAATAATATGATAAGCTTAAAATTTTTTTCTCGCATACATAATCCATGAGGTTTTTCCTTTTATATCAAAGTGTCGTGATCGTATCGTTAATATGTAGAATTCAATGGAAAATAACTGAGATAAATTCTAGTCGTTACTAAAGCCACACCTCTGCTATTTTCCAGCAAAAAATGTTAACTGAATGTCAATGCTAAAGTAATAGAACTTTGCAAATGTAGAGAATAATTATACATAAATGGAATTTACTGTTCGAAGGTCTATTTTTGACATTTTTATCTGACCTGCTCTTTCAATGGCCCAAAGAAAGGCCAAAATGTCAGGTGGTAAAGTAATTTGGGAAAGGGCAACCGCCAGCCTATTGCTCTCCTGTGATATCGTTATAATATAAGCGTTTCAATGATACAAGCTACATGACGATGCAAAACTCGGGTATTAGACCACCGTACAAGGCAGCTCTGTTCATTTACTGGGCAAGAAAATACAAAAATACCACTAGAATAGAGGATAGTAGTTATCCTTGATAATGTCATAAATTGCACTGTTAACGAAAGGTGGTGATTTAATAAAGGTTACGAACATGATCTTTCTTGTTCTGGTACGTGTTAGATTGGTTGGGACCAATCGTTATCGTCTCATAAATTATTATCATAATCATAAGATCGTTAAAGCATCGATTAAATAAAGAGTTGATTAAAAAGGAAATGCATAAAAACCGTTCTCTCGAACGTTGAAATAAGTAATTGAGTATCATTGGAAAACTACCGGTAAGAATCGTTAAACGTATAATTTTTATCTTTGCCTCGCGCGCATCAACTAAGGCTTATCTGGATAATTGATGACACGATCGTTTTCAAAGTATCGATAATGATACTGACGGTGTTTGCAATTAAAAAAAGGATGTTGGTATAAAAGATTCATGAGCCGCATTTTATGGAATGAAAAAATACTGCTCGCTGCGTCGATGGTTTCGCCCATTGGCGATTGTAAGCTAACGTTGATCTCCTACAAGTTGTAATAGACCAATGGTAGCTTTCGCTTGAGAATGTAAAAGAAAAAAAGTAATAGAATGAAAATAGGACGCAGAATGCGAATTAATAGAATATAGGGTGTATCGTTTATCGTCATTTTAGATAATAGGTGTTGATATGAGCACCAATAAAAATGAGATCTTTCGACATCGATATTGTTGGGCGACACCTTTGCAAGACGTAACCAGACTCAATTATCGTGAAATATAATCAATCATTCTACTATAATAATTTACTTTTTTTACTTCAAGTAGTAATTTGTCTATCGAATTGCACCACTTACATAAGCGCAGCAAAGAATTATAGATAACGTTAAGTGACTTTATCGGAGCAGATCGCATCGGCGAAGTGTTCGTATCATTCCATAATTAATGCCGCGGAAATAATAATAGTGAGGTACAATTACGCTTGTAAATAAACACAGCTGTTGGTCTGTGTTGATTGGCTAGTTACGAGCGGCTCGTACTTTATAAAATTTTACAACAGGCCAGTCGAGGCTTGCAAAGATAAACGAACAGATATATCGGAGATAGTAGACCGGATTGAGATGTTATGTCATATCAGGTTATCCTCGCAATAGATCAAACAGAATTAATTAAAATTTCCGCTAAAGGATTTAGCGAGAATGAGCATTAATTTAAATCTCCGAACGCGATGTTACGGATGATAAAGCGATAGACAGTTAGGTTGCTTAATTTCGTTACGACTAAGTGGATGCTGGGGAGCGTTTCTATGATCGGTCCAGCCATCACGTCGCAGACCCAATTACTAATAGTTCCAGATCTTGCGACCTAATCAAATTCAATGGAAAAATAGAGTCGGGGTCTACCCTTTATATGGTCTGTCGTCGAAGGGATATTACGTGCCGGATGCTAATGGCCCTCCCTATTGCTCGAACTAAGTTCTCACGTTGGCAGTGCGTAGTCGACGATAGACTGAAGGGGACGCGTGTGTTTCGAAACGATGAAAGATTGCCTAGAAAGCTCGACGCCTCTTCAGGTATGTAAATAACGTATCTCGCTTTGGTAAATCATGTCATCTCAACATATCTTACCTTTAACAATAAAAAGATAAAAGGAGAACAACTCGCGGTAGGGTATAGGTCAATGATATCTTTATCTCAGAGGAATTAATTGATTCCGTTTTTATAAAACTTGTTCAAACAAATGCGAGATTTTTTTAACGTCTGCGAACTGAAAACATGGTCAAGTTGACTGGTTCATCGAACAAGTTCGTTGCGTGTAACGATAAATCGATGTCCTCACGTGTTGGAGTAATCCGATCACCGGATTTATTGCATAGAGCAAAGGCTAGAAGAGTTCAAAGACGAACGTTTCACTGACCGGATATACCTATGCGCTTGGTGTTGAAAGACGGTGCGTGCCAAAGGAAACCGATTTATCTCACTGAAAATCCGCTGTTGCGGAGCGAACACCCCACTGACATTGGCAGTGCACTCCTCGATCCTTTGGCTTCTATTCTCGGACGAATCCGCGATGCATCGCGTTTTACGGACGGAAATAGCCGCAAACATTTTCTCTCGGTTAAGAAAATTTCATTAAATCGTATTCGCCAGCGAACATGCAACATCAAAGATCCCTTGCTCCGATAAATATTAACACGCAACGATAGAAATGTTCATCGTTCAACTTCGGTCAGTACTACTCGATTTTCCATCTAATCTGCAGTTGCATTTGTTGGTTTAACGATTATTGTAGACCGAGCGCGAAGAAGAGGAGTGATTGGGTGCTAATAACGTTATCTATGCATTTAGTTGAACAGTGCTAGGTGATAATGTCAATGATATGATTAAAAGACGCAAGTAGATGATCCAGATTTAGTAAAAGAGCGGACAACAAATCGACCCGTATACAAGAATTATTTCGTCCCGGCAGAGTCAGCTGTAATTCGATTATACGCCTCGCTTTCGGAGCAGTGCACGTGTCCCAAGTACAAAATATCCTAGAACCACGTCTGGTGCATTTGTATCAATCAGCTCCGCTTCGGTATTTGGTCTCGTTTCGTCGACTCCGGAGAGTGTCACGTATCGAGGAGGTATCGAGGAGGTAACGAGGAGGTAACGAGGAGGCACCGTGGGAGACCAGCGGAAGAGGAGATTTAATAATCGACCAAATACCTGGATTTCTTTGTCTGCTGCGTACGTCTGCACGCGGCACGGTAAGTGTGAACTCGCCACCTGTACACCAGGTGTCAACTACTTTTCGATCATGCGTATCACGTCTGTCATCGTACCGAGGCTGGGTGGCAAGCCGAGGGGTGACAATCATTCGGAGAACGATTCAATTAATCCATCCGAGGCCAGCCTTTAAAGCAGTTTGCAATTTCTCGATCAGTTGCCTCGGACAAACGTATAAGTAAAACTTACTTCAATTCTTGGATCATAATGGAATATTCGTCTGTCGTGGTCCTAAACAATGGGGTCATCGTTCACGGAACTAGTTTCCCCGATAAATCTAGCTTCGGTAGCTTCCGACTGACTGACCGAACGAGGGAGCTTGACTGAACTCTAAACGAGATTAGCCTCGATCGCAACGATACTGCGCGATCGAATGTACGACGATCGCGTACAAAGTTCGAATACAAATTTTCTTCGTTTTACGTGTATACACGTGATGCAGTCCAAGAATTTACTGCGCAGCAGATCTAGCCTTCCGTTTATCGAACATTGGAGCGAATTTAAAGAGAACGAACATTCACGCGTAGATAAACGAGGGGACACGACCACTGTTCGCATGGTGGGACGTTTGGCGTAGATATCTCACGCTGAACGGAACTGCATCGCGTTAACCGCAGTTTTTTGTTTAGCATCGCTCAAGTAATTGTTATGCATCGAACGTTGGGAAAGAATTCAGTCAAGTGCGACGCATTCATTTCTTCTTTCGCTGCGGCTGTTGTCTCCCTTCGATTCTGCTCCTTAATTATCGTTGCAATCATTGCTTGCTCAACAAATTAATAGTTGAACTTATCGTTATCACGTAACGAAATATGAATAAAGTCTTTTACGTAATCGCTATCAGATCAGAGGTGATAGATCGAGACTATGCTGTATGTGGAATTGTGTAAATACATAAACTGCGATGCTTATCGTGTCGGATTGCGGAATAAAAATTGCAAAGTTGTGCAGTAAACGGTATGCGAGTGTACCTCTTGCCTCGAAAATAAGCGCGCAGATCAATCAAAAGGCGTTTCCCGTGCAATTTCCCGCATAAATCGTCAATTAATTCCAAGACAAGCAAGAGACAGAGGGTTCACCACAGATAATTAGCGCATTTATATGTCAGATTAGTGGATTTATTGCACTGGACGTACTGCGCTCCAGTGTCTCAAGGCAATCTAGAATAATCGAATATCCATTGTCGCTATGCACTTTGTGTCGCAGACAAGACAACGACAATAAAATATATGACAAGACAGTGCGATCATTCCGACGAATCTGTTTATTTTAGTGAAGTCAGAAGTCGGGATGTATTCTCGCTCATCGCGAGTAGAAACGGAACGACGATGATCAGACGCGAGAGGATCTACTTCGAAGGGAAGGGGAGCGTACGGTGCTGTTCAATATTGGATCGGAACGTTTTAAAACAGGTGCTTTATTCCCGAGGTAATCTTAACTACGTGCAGTCAGTGCATTTTCATTGCGAGAGAAGGTGTATCTTATTCTGATTGGCCTGCCACTTACGGATCTAGCACCGCCTCTCTCGATTGAGAATCATTTATATGTGTAACCAACGTGTATCGCGATCTCTTAACGGGTGGGTAGTTACGTCACGATTAACTATATCACTGATTGAATAATACCGAAGGGGCATTATTAACGGGCACCGAACATTGGTCAAGTCTACCGCGCTGTCGGTTGGAAATTTTTAGAGAAGGTGCAAGAACGTTATCCTACCTGCGAACTACTTTTGAAAAAAATTCAGATTGAAAACACGACACATTTTTTTGTAATTTATACAGCTTACGTTACTCGGTGCTCTGGATAACGGTACATACGATACCGCGTATCCTACTACGGTTTTCAAGCGATTCAGGTTCCCGTTGAACAGAGAAGTCCGATCGGTTAGCGAGTAAGCAAGTATTAGTGACAAATAATTGCGACGACGAGGTGGAGATGTAATGAAGCAGCACGACGAGCTCGCATAATCGTCAATGCCAGTAATAACTCTGAAATAAATTAAAATTAATTGATCCTTCGACACTACGGCTTTCCGTGTACGTTTGTCTCACTCCTTTCATTCCGTTCCGTTCACTCATTTTTCAATGAAATCACGCGATGCAAATATCGCACCTGTTCAAACTTGTTCGCGGCATTGTTATCGTTTCATCTCACTACGCTATTTGTAACAAATTTGTTTGGACTGATGAGAAATCGTGATAAACAACACGAAATGCGTAGGAAAGAGTACGCGGGGGAAAGATCAGCGGCTGACCACCGAGCTTGACGCTTACTACCGAATCCGGTTTGAAAGTATTCCGAGAACAAACAGACGATTGTTATAATTCATTGTCATACGTTAGCGATCGCCTCGTTTATCGAGCCTCGTGATCAAACGCTGCAGTGATTGTATTCCCGTTGCACGACTGCCTACTGTGTTGTTATCTACAGTTTACACTAGTCTACAGGGTAAAGCTGTCTGTCTATCACGGACTCGTTTAAAAGATCACCGGACGGCAGACTTGCTCGTGTAAATGCGTTTAGAAAAATGCACAAAAAATGTGTCAAGAGCTCGCATCGAGCTTGACTTTATTGCAAGAATGCTGTTTTTTTCTTCTCCTTTTGTTTTTGAGGCCACGCAGACCGACACTCGACAGCGCGCAAGAATCGAACACCGACATTATTGAATGCCACCTAATGTACGACTATAACGCGCGGTTCTCTTCGTTGGCCTTCGTGGGTATAGATCGGCGACAGTTCCGTGACCGGCCCAGAGTCCGTTCCGTGTTTTGTACAATTCAATGAAATTGCATAATTCGTGGGTAAATAGCCTTAAACTTCGAATCCGGTTCGTACCTCGTCGAAGATTTCTTTTGTGCCGGATTACGGTGGATCACGTCTCTACTCCTCGAAGCGGAAAGTCTTTATCTTGTTTGAAATTTTAAGCGATGACTCCACTAGTTTTTGATCATTATTGCACATATGAATAATCGACTGGCAGAGAACAGGCGGAATGTGTTCAGTTTGAAACAAATTGTATTTCAATTCGCGTTTAAGTCTGCCGATTCTGTGTTTATTCGAGGCACGCGAAGCTCGAGGCTAGATGCTTCGAAAGATATTAATGGTAATTTTCCGAAGGCATACATTTTCACGAATTAATCGCTTTTCGGTGTCGGAATCGTGTGTCAATACACTGAAGATTAATTTCCGGGTAAACGTCGGTGAATCATTTTTTCGGATTCATTGTTGCATGTGTACAGAAAACTTGAATTAAACAGCGTTGTACTCGCGGAAGTAGCGTTCGTTCGACGATGTAAATACTGGAAGATTGTAGGTCTGGACGATATTTTATGTATGTACGTACAAGCGAAATTGTTATATTTACCTGTCACGTTGCAATATCTCCAGTACAATGAGAAAACGTGACAATTGTAGCATCGTACGCGATATGATTACGTTCACAGGACGGTTTGAGGATAGCGTTCAATAGCTGAATCGTATTCAGGTTTTATGGTGTATTGTAAAGCAATCGGTACAAATAGTAATTTCGTTCTTTTTTTACATTTCTATCAAACGCAGATCGCGTGTCTCAGGCAAGCCTTAACGTGTTTTTAACGAACATTCTTTTCTTGGTTTTTCTCCGCGTCACTCAATTTGCATTAAGTGATATTAAATGACAAACCGTGTACATGCCGAATACATATATAACTGGGATATCAGATCTTCCCTTGGCGGTGTTCCCTTTCGTAACGAATCGTAGACCAACAATAATTAAGCAACGAAACAAGAATTAATTAACGGCACGACGAGACGCGACATCGCAAGAGATAATCAAACGTGCACAACGGTACGTTACATAAAGTATCCTTTCCTGTTCGAAAAAGATGCATATCGATTCCGCTTGAAAAATCTTCGTGGCTCAGTAAAAGACTAGTTTCTTATTTTTAACGTAAAAAGGACAGGGGTCATAGAAAAACGAAAGAGCCAGTCATCCCGACGATTAAATTCCTATGTTTCCGATCTCAAACATCCTAAACTTCTGTTCGCCTGTCCCTGAACCTGTAAGAATGGCTTTTGCCCGTACTGAGCGTATATAAGAGTGACGACGTCCTATCACAAAGCGCAGTGTTAGATTACCACCTCGACGTCAACAACGGGCTTCGTGTGGCAAAACCGGCGATATTTCTACATTTCAGTGGTCCACTGAATGAGACGCCGCGATCGCGTCCAGCCGGTATCGTTGCCGAAATTTATATAAGAGATCTCTCCTGAGTATAAACGATCTACAAGAATATATTCACCATGGAAACCGCAGACTTGGCTGATTTTACTCTCATCGACTCTAACAAGACCCAGACCAATTTCGTGAAAAATGTGCCGAAAGTTGCTAAATACACGGTAAGCTCCTAGCGTACGTAACAGAGCTTCGACATTATATTTTTTTCTACTGTGTTCTACTAAACTATACGTTGTTACAAAAGTTTGATAATTACAAAATTTGCCGTGATGTAAGGAAAGCCATGAACATAAGTATCATATTCCTGGCAATATCTAATCATACGTAATTTTGTCCACGTACATCATGTTCTAATGACTAAATTATTCAAGGGTCTGAATCGCTGAATAAAAATTGTGATATAATACGGTATTCTCTTTGAATTCTACATATGTACATCCATACGCAGGATGAATCCGGTTAGGAGAAGACAAGCACGAGCCTCGAATGATTTTAAAATGTTTTCCGCTTTCATCTCGATATTATACACCAGCCAACTTCAGTATTTTTCATCTGAAATTCGCTATTTACTATTTACCATGCTCTTTCATATCATGAACTGGGATTTCTCGAATCGCTCTTTGAAAGTTAAAAAAATCTTCAGAAGCTGAGTTTGAATGCTATAGTTATGCTCCGCAATATATCTTCGCTCTTAATAGTTACTGTGAATTATAAAAGTAGATCAACTACAACACCGTGTCGATCATTGATGATCGAAATAAAACGTCGCAGAAATGGGATCGCGTCGCGAGCCATGCGCTCAATGGACCACATTAATTGTCGCGTGTGTGAAAGCGCTAATTCAATTCCCGTTGCCGCGAAAACAATGAATTGTTGTTCTGATGGCATTAGGTTACATTTACGTATATTTATACAATATTGCAACAGTTGTTTAGAGCTCATGCGATCAAATTATGCTACTTTGTACCGAGCTACAATATCAAGCAATTAACTGGAGTCTAGTTACTGAACTGTTGCTCTCTTTCATTTAATTTTCTATAAATAAATTCTTGTCGACAAACGTATTTGAAACTTTTCTAACTCTTGTTAGTTTGTTGCGTGTTCTAGCTGGCGGATTCAGCGAACGACGAAAGAATGGGCATGGACTATCATCTCGAAGTAGTCACCAAAGATGACAAACTTAGGATACTAAAATTTCTCAGACGATTCTTCTTCAGAGACGAACCACTGAACCATTCGATCGAACTCATATCAGATAGCGAGGACACTTGCCTCGAGTTAGAGGAATATTGTTGTATGTCCTCGCTTGAGAACAATCTGAGTTTGATAGCAGTCTCACCGAGCGGTGCTATAATAGGTGTTTTGTTAAACGGTAAGACTTTCATCTGTGCGCGTCAAAGATTAAAATAACGCTTGAACTGTTCATTAAGCTATGCTATATGCGCGAAAGCTTGCGGGCCTTCAATTCTGTTTACGCAGATCTTGATATAAGTATATTTGGGTTAATAACACTTCGCATACCAAGAATATTTCGTTCTTAGTAAGAAACACTGATATTACGAGCTGAAATGTTCGAGGAATACGAAGCTGTGTCAAGTCGGTCGCAACGAATAATTAATCCTTGAGCTTATGCATCAAGGAGAATGTAGGACAATAGATAGATTTTTATGCATATTGTACAAAATATTTGCTCGCAATTTACGAAGGTACTGCATTATTTACGAGGCGTTCTCGACTAGATTCGATTCCAATTTAAAATAGTACCCAAGATAGCAAGAATTGTGAGAGATAGTGCATCAAGGATCGAATACGGAAAGAAATTAAATAAAAATCCGTGTGAAAAATAATTATCAAAGACGTGAAGTCACGCCCACTACAAAACGGTACTGTGCTCAACGTTACATAAATTGTTATGCGAATGGCAAGCAGTCGTGAGACTTATTAAACGTTACCGGTTGTTGCGACTATAGCAATTACATTATTTTAACGGTAGATTCAGTTAATCACATACAGTAAATGATCATAACAAACCGGGTGAACTACATAAAGAAATGCATTAAAATGCAAATTGGACAAGTATGTCGATCTAATGAATTCTGTTTAAAAT